TCCGGTTTGTTTTCTTTTCTTTTTTTTTTTTTCTTTTTTTTTTTATAAATGAAATCAGGGCCTTATGGTCCTGGCTCCGTTCTATTTCACCGGCAAGTCAAAATACATTCCGCCTAAACCCAGAGAAGCCAAAGGGCCCACAATCTCCAGCTGTCGTCCTCTTGATAAATGGAAGGAAGGATGAAAGACGAGGGGCGAAAATCTGAGACTAGAGAAGAAAACAGGAACGAGGAGAGGAGAGAAGAGGAGAGGAGAGGAGAAAGAGAAGAGAGAAGAGAGAAGAGAAGGGTGAAGAATGAAATGAAAACTGCGCGTAACAATGTTGTGATTGCTCATGCTTTGGTTAATTGCTGATGGTTTGATGGTTGTGGTTTGTCAAACAATACGTACACCAGCGACTATTTGGCGTAGACTCGCTTGACGGGGTCTTCCCGGCAATCAACTTGGCGTACAGCCAAGTGTGTGAATACCGGAACTTCCTCAAGGCGCTCCGCTCCGTGCTTGGACTTCCAGACAATGCTGGGCCCACATCAGCTCTGTTTCAGATTCGTTCCCTTATCCCCGAGGTGCGTCTCAACGTTGTCTTTTCTTTTCTTTTTCCTTTTTTTTTTCCTTTTTTTTGTTTTAACGGGCCCAGTGCCCAAGGCTGATAATATTACCAATAAGAATTTTGAGTCCGGCCCAGTGGAGTACCGGGCTCAGAAAAAAAAAAAGAAAAAAAGAAGAGTACCGGGCTCAGCGTCTCAGCGTTGTCATACATTGGTTCATGGTTCAAGCATCATGGATTTATTATCACAGTATTTTTTTATTTTTTTTCTGAAGGAAAAAAAAAAGAAGGGGCCCAGTGCTCAAGGCTTTCATGATGATTTTTTTTTTTTTTTTTTTTTTTTTTTTTTTTTTTTTTTTTTTTAATGAGAAACTGCCCGAGCGGGTGCTAGGGGTGCTGATAAGAGGAGGCACCACTATCACTGTCAGGGGGCTCCATGTATTGGTAGGGAGCAGCACCTGCTGGAAATCGGGTCCAGCGTCCCTGTGGAGTACAATGTAAACAATATGTGTGAGCATGATATGTCAGTATCCATTCGAGGGCCAGGTGGTAAGCAGCCCAGCCTAGTGTTCCTTACCGTCTTCACCCGAATAGAACGCCCGGTCATTATAGCCGTATCTGGACTGGTGCAATTTTCAGTCCAGATATGGCTATAATGACCGGGCGTTCTATTCGGGTGAAGACGGTAGTGTTCCTACGAGTTATCAATTATAATAATATTGTTGTTGTAACCTTGACTGTCCATTACTATCTATCTGTTAATTGCATCATGCTGTTGTGTCTGTTGTGTCTGTTTTGTCTGTTGTGATCTGTTGTGATCTGTTGTGATCTGTTGTGATCTGTTGTAATAAGCCCTTAAAACCTAGTGCCCATCCTTCCTCATATTACCCGGGCTGTAGTCTGTAGTCTTGTCCAGTGTTGTAGCCGTGTGAAGTGTATTGTGTTAGTGTAAAGCAGATGTGGGGTGGCTTCCGCCACCCCCTGTTCCCTCCCTCCCAAATACCCGTGGTGTTTATTAGCATCTAAAGCTCATCCTGGTGTTCTCTGGTGTGATCTAGTGTGATCTGGGTGGGGTGGCTTCCACCCCCCCTATTCCCTCCCTCCATCCCGGTGTGACTGCGACCTGCCTTGCCCTTTGGTCGCTTGATTGAGCCTTCACAGTCCCACCATTCTACCCCCCGTGTCACATCTATCTCAACTGTGTCTTTGCAGCAGCAAATGAAAAAAAAGGGAGGGACCCTTACTCGGCTTAGGGCCTTAGGCTTATGCTGGAAAATGGGGCCAGTGTCTCATAGAAGGTCTACAATATATCAATTTATCAAATAGATTTCGAAAAAGTGCCATATTCTTCTTCTGCTGGGGCTTGGACACACTAGCGAAGTATTCTACGAAGTGTGACGCAATTTTATGTTTTTTTGGAAAAGACAAAGTGATTTTTTATTTGCATGAATGGATCTTTTTCTGATTTAAAATGAATTGAAATGTCACATAAAACAGAGAACAACAGCTGTGCACCCGAATTCATGGGTTGGTACGATCTCCTTCACGTAAGTCTTCATAGTGCCTCTAACAGGCCATCCGACAGACACAGAGGCGTTCCTGTCAGATCCACCACAATATTTGAATTTCACATTTCAAGTTTGATTTCTCAGAGCCAAAAAAAAAAAAAAAAACGAAGTCTGGAAATCAACCCTCTCCCTTTCGAGCCCATAAAATCCAGACTTCCCGCCCACGCAAAGCCGCGAGCTATCATGTCCAAATTTGTTTTTCTTTGTTTTTCGATGCATCTCATTGGACGGAGGTGGGCATCTTTACAGTCCCCACTCGGAAACTACCAGGCCGTCGAGATCCGATGTATTTGACGGCCGTACTGCGTCACTCGATCGAAACACGTGATCGAAATCCTGAACGGAGTGGTAGAATACGTCGCTAATGGGTTCAGGCCCCTGCTGCTGCTGCTGCTGGTTGTTTTTTTGTTTTTTTTTCCCCCTTTTTTTCTTTTTTTAAGCCCAGGGTGTTGTAGAGGCCGGTTACTAGGCACACATTGATCGCCTGGAGCGGTGCGGCTTACTACTACGACGACGACGACTACGACCACTATGTACCTTGCTCCACTGCACAACATTCTAAATGTGTCTGGACCTGGAAAGGATACGAGTCATATTACGGACCCAATACATTCAGATGTCGGACGGGTCAGAATGTATATGGTCCGTGTTACTTTCGGGATGCCTGTCGAATGTCGAGTAGTGGAGCAAGGGCCCTTATTTCATTTTGTGCTGAGCTTTTTAGGGTCCTCAGAGACTTTACATGAGAAGTGCGAGCACACTTAGGATGTGGCTGCGCTTCGGGCCTTGTGGGTGCGATGTGGCTGCGCTTCGGGCCTTGTGGGTGCGAGTCCCGCTAGCCGAATAGAACGTACGGTCATTATAGACTGAAAACTGCACCAACTACAGCTATAATGACTGCGCGCTCTATTCGGGGGGGGCAGTACTGGGCTGACTTGGCAAAAAGGAGCTCAACGTTTTGAATGTACGGGGACCTGTATTTGTAGCGGGACCCGCACCCACAAGGCCCGAAGCGCTGCCACATCCTAAGTGTGCCCGTAATTCTCACGTAAAGTCTCTGAGGACCCTAAACAGCTCAGCACAAAATGAAATAAGGGCCCTTGCTCCACTGCTCGATATTTGACAGGCATCTCCAAAGTAACACGGACCATATACATTCGGACCGGTCCGACATCTGAATGTATTGGGTCCGTAACTCTTTAAAAAACTCTCAACATACCTGTCACAACATAAGCTCAATAAGGAAGCTCAATTGGTCATGATCATGACATACAATGTACAATAATGACTTCCATAACAATCTCGAATTACCCGGGGCCGGTCACCTGGGGCGAGGTCCCATTAGCAGCCGGATAGGAGTGTGGCCGATCCAGTGTGACACTGAGTGGCAGCGGACTGACAGGTTCGTTACGAATTTCTGGGCTGAGAAAACAGTAGAAAGGCAAAAGAAAAAGAAAAAAAACAGAGACCTCCCACCGGAAATCGCGGCAGAGTGCTTCCCAGCCATCAGATCACAAATGATCTGATGGTGGTGTTTGCAACAACAGTGAACAAAGTAACCGCCACATTTTCTGGAATAAACTCTACTTCTGTCAGCAGCGATCCTGACACCCTCCATATACTCCGTGATTGAAGGAGGGCTCCACCCAATGAGATAATTGCACAACGGCAAGTAACATACTGAAAATCTTCTATCCAGTGGGCCTATGGCCGACCCACCCTCTTTTGGGGTTGGCCACACCCTTCTGGCGGGAAGCTTTCTTTGCATGGGCATGCCCAGTGTTCAGGAGAGGAGGGGAACAAAGATCTCCTTACCTTTTCGGGTAATACATGTAAAATACTGACCGTGGGATCACGAGTACTGCATGGCAGGATTTGGGTCACTCAACTGCCCCACAAACTCATTTCTATCCTATCACGTTGCTAGTGGGACCTCGCCCCTGTGGATATATCTCAAGACTGCCGCCCTTTAAAAAAAACAGGCCCTTATGGTCCTGGCTCCATTTCCATTCTGGGGAGCATCAGTCCGGTTCCTATTCCACCGGCAAGTCAGAATAACAAGATACATCATAAGTACTCACCCACGCTTCCTTCCGTCCGGCCGAAGGACCCCTGACCAGCATTGATTGCTCGAACATCGTGGAGGATTGACTGTCAGCTTGCCCTGCTTCATCCTTTCCTCTCAGGTCTACCAGGACCATAAGGCCCTGATTTTATCAAAAAAAAAAAAAAAAAAAAAAAAAAAAAAAAAAAACTGTTGTATAAAGCATGACTAGCGAGAAAGGTCCTAGAAGCTGCCAAAGCTGCCAATTTTGTCTAAACTGTAAATCCCCCATGTGAGCCACATCAAAACTCTGCTATTCCGAACCCTGTTTGCCCTAATTCTGTCCAAACCCTAAGGGGCTCGTTCGACACTCCTCGGGGCGTCCTCGGGCCCCGAGGACGATTCCTCAGGGTCGCCCGAGGAAATTGTCGCCTTCGTTCCACTCATCCTCGGAGTCGACCCCCGAGGACGATTCCTTGGGGCTCCCGCGGCCCCGATTTATATATGCACAAGCGGACGCGGGGGTGGGGCTGACGGTGGTCCACCGAGTTGTGTCCGTGCGGATGGCGCTGGTCCACCTTTGTTGGCCGTCACGAATTCGAATGAGGGCGGGAAACGAAAAAAAAACAAAACCGGGGCCCTTGGAAATGGCGCGCAGCGGTCCTGTTCAAAATTTGAAATTTGAAATCAGGCTTTGCGATCGGCGGCGCGTGGAGGACGTACGTTTCACGCCTGGTTGCGTCTGCGGCTGGCGTTCGTGGCGTTCGCATAAGTGACGATTGTCCCCTGCGGTTGTCGTCGATGAGCACGGTCGTGTACGCGTTGGCGGCAAGGGGAGACGACATCGATACATGAGCGTTGGGAAAGACAGACGACCATCGTCAGTGCGTGGCTCCGAAGATATTGCACAGCCACCGACGCTGTGATCTTCCGCGTGGCGCTGTTTGTGGAGTCCAGTGGTTTGATTGACGTGATGTCATCGGAAGCGGCATCTGGGATGGACGTTGACGGCGGGGCAGGGCGCGGCGGTTTGACGACGGCGGAGAGGATGGCTATTGCTGCGGTGGTTAATGTCGTCCTCTTCCGCTGCCAGATGGCGAGCAATGACGCGGTCTTCAAAGCGGCTGTTCGTGCACGGCGCAAGCTGTTGGCGCTTCCGACGACTGGGCAGTGCTTGGATGTGGCTGCCATTTCCGACGCGGTGCTGGAGGTCTGCTACGCGATGGGGTGCGGGGTTTTTCCAAGGGCGACTCCACGGTGGTGGGTGAAGCGGCGAACGGGCGGCACGTGGGAGGATCTGTGCCAATGTGATGACGCAACGGATGATTACTTCAAGGAGAAGCTTCGAATGTTGCCTCGTGTTTTCCGCGAGATTGCAGAGACTCTTTCCCCGCTCCTTCAACGCCGTGTGACGTTCTACAGGGTGCCTTTGCAGCCAGACCACATAATTGCCTATGCACTGTACAAGTGGGCCACTGGGGAGACGTACGACAACGGGACGTGTAGCTTCGGCATCGGGAGGGCTTCTGGCACACGGCGGTGCGTGACGTGACGGCGGCGTTGCTGACTGCTTACCCCGACAAGATATCATGGCCCACAAGTTTGCAGAAGGCGGTCGTGTTGCGCGCCTTCGCTGACAAGGGTTTTCCAAACTGCCATGGGTGCATCGACTGTACACATATCTACATCGACAAACCCGCGAACGCCAACGGTGAGGACTACTGCGACAGGAGACGTCGATTTTCCGTGCAAGCGCAAGTGGTGGTCAACATGAACTTGCGTGTGCTGGACGTCTTCGTCGGTTATCCAGGGAGTGTGCATGACATGAGGATGCTGAACCTGTCGAGTTTGTGGGTGCGCGCGGAGTCAGGACAACTTTTTCACTGGGCCGCATGTGATGCTGCCTTTCGGTGTGCGGACTAATGGCTACTTGCTCGGCGACAACGGTTATCCGCAGTCGGAATGGATAGTCGTCCCTTACGGCTGTCTCGAGCAACACCCGACGGAGGCACGCTTCGACAACAAACAGAGGACGGCCAGGGGAGCAGTGGAGAGGGCGTTTGGCAGACTGAAGGGGATGTGGAGGTTGTTCCTCCGCACCCACAAGTGCAACATGGACAGCTTGCCGCAACAATTCGTTGTCGTCTACATCCTCCACAACATACTCATCGACGCCGGCGTCCCGTTTGACGACAATCTGCTGTGGGAGGTGGGTCCAGACGGCATGTGACGAAGAGTGGATCTGGGGATGCATCAGCCATTGAGGCCAGTGTGCACGGAGTCTTCGACGGGGGATGCGCTGATATTGAGGGACGCGTTGGCGGAGCGGATGATTGCGCAGTGAGGTTGGCCGTGTTCGCAGTTGGAGACCCCACCATGAATGGAACGAGTCTGAGGGACAAAGCTGTGAGAAGCGGGGGAGCACGGAGGAGATCCGGTGGCGGTAGGAAGGGGAGGTGGCCGTCCCACAGCAAGAGGCGGTCGACGATGGCAGTCCGGCCGTGGTAGCGTAGTTCGAGCGAGATGTGGCCGCCGTGTCTCGCGTGGTCGGTGCGGTTAGTTGTCCAATGTTGAGTGGCGACGACTGGCTTATGTACGCTGTCGCTTGGTTTTTAGTTTTTTTTTGTTTGTTTGTTATTATTATTATTATTTTTTTTATTTTTTTTTTGCCTTGTCCATGGACAGGGAGTACGGGCAGGTTAGCGTTATTTTTCGCTAAAGTAGTGTAGTTGGTGGTTGCGGATATTGCCGTTAGGCGGTTGCGCGTGGCGGGGTTGCACATGCCATGCGTGCAACGTGCAGTACTTGTGATGACGGGGCACGACGGGCGAGAGGGGGGCGGGGGGATGGTGGGGTGAGTGGTTTTATTGTAAAGAATGCAATGTTGCTGGTACCTGGAAATGCTTCCGCATTGTAAGGGGAATCCCTTTTTGAGATTTGAGTTTTCTTCGCTCACAACGGTGTATGCAAAAAACAGTTCATTCCGCATTTCTCTTGTTGTTATGTTGAAGGGAGCTGCTATTGCATGGGTTTGCAACATAGTTGTTTTGGTCCTTCGTTTCGAAGATTGTTCACCGCTTTGCATGCATCAACCTTCACGTTTCCTGTTCGTTTACCGCTCTCGCTCCAATGTGGTGTGTT